ACTTTTTAATAATGTGAATGACAATTATGGGATCTAAATATTGTTTGATAATTAATTGGGTATGATTGCCAAATGAATACCTATTCGAACTTGGCATTATTACCTAGCATGAGATGGAGATGAACGTCAAGAGATGATTTAGGTACTTTATTAGGTTTTTAGTAGAAATAGTAATTGAGGGAATTCCTTGTGTTGTGCTCCATATGACTAGATGCTGGTTGATATGTGGAATCGATAGCATGTATGCGTATAACTATGTATAACTTTTATGCTTGTATGATAAGATAGTGGTCATGAGAAGTTGATAGTGCAAGTGATTCCGTTGAGTGATGGTTCGGAATCATATCCTTGTTTGGATTCCGTTGAGTGGTCCAAAGTCGCATCACTTTACTTGTTGGTTTCTTAGATTTGATATCAGCTACAGAGATGTAGGCTTGGCTTAACTATGTCACTCTAGCCTTAGTTTTAGTATAATTGTGAGCAATGATTTTGAGAATCTTGTGGATTGAATTAGAAAAGCTGTTAGACGTTTGGGTGACTCTTTCAGGATTTTCTATGATTTCTTAAAGTATGAATTTAGAAGATATGGTTATAGTTGTTATTATTCTGGTCAAATTAGTTAATTAGAGTGGATAGAGAATTGTATTGTGCTTCATCGATTCTTTGATATGATATATGTTGTGAATTGCGGTATCATGTTGCGACATAATGACTTATATAGAAGATGGAAGGGAAATCATGATTTTCAAGTGGATTAGTTATGTAACCCCGAGTCTAGTAATTTCATGCTTGTCAAGTTCTATTGATTGATTGAGAAATGTTATACCTTTCGGCTTAAACGGAATGTGTTATATGTCAATTATAGTGCACGATGAACTACGAATGGCTTGATCCCTGAGTAGGGTACGTAGGCAGTCTAACGAGAAGGTTAGATGCAGCCATAAAGTGTACAAATTTTACTACGCAATTCAAGGCATGGCATGTGCTTGGTATATATCTCTAAGACGAGTATGTTAGATATATGGTTATTTGATGACGTCACGTGTCAATCCTGGACGTACGTCGGGATCGGGGCGTGACAGTCCTAGTAAAAATCTGAGTCGTGTCTTGAGAGTACGGAATATATGAAGTTCGCCAGAGTCCGAAGATTGAAGTGCTTTGACTTCGGATTATAGATTGTTGAATCTTGGGAGACAGACGCCTATCGAACTACAAGTACAAGAGTAGGGTAAAATTCTGTCCTTAGGACATTACATTTATGCAAGCCTCAATCTTCAAGTTTGTCAGTTTTCTAACTTTCTTTCTAATTGTTTAGATTAATCTTATACATAAATTGATGTTGTGAATTTTTTATGATTATTATTAATGGAGTTCTTGTGTTATTTTCATATTTTCTAATATTGCTCCAACAGTTAGTTTAGTGATAGCTTAATGACAATGCTCCTGGTTATGTACGTTCTTTCTCGCGAGGTCGCACGTCCTATTTCTTGTATGAGGAGATACACTAGAATGGATGTGAACTAAGTGTGTTGATTGAGACTATGCCTCACCCTATGTGGGTGAGTGGGAGATGTTGGATTTATCTTATGGGATAAATAAATATCAAAGGATATTCCACCCACATGAGGATATTAACCTCCTAATTATCTATGTGATAATTAGATGAAAATCAAGAGATATTCATATTAGAATATACTTGGGATTTCATGGGCTTTTTAGTCTTTGTACACTCTTCCCAACCACCATATAAAGAGACTTTGGAGAAGAGATAAAACACAAGAAGTACAAGCTTTTCCACAGTTCAATATTCTAGTTAGGTCTTTAGGGCTATCACTTTTGGCTCTAGGTCTTGGGAGGCGCAAACCAAGGGGCAACCCAACATACTGTAGCCAACCCGATGACCTACGAGGTTCTAGACGTGCACAGAGGGTCAAAACAGTTGTTCGTGTTTGTAAGAGCGTGTTGAGATTCAAGCTTCCGCATAAAAGATACACACGTCCTTCCGAATTTATTTTTAGTCTTCCAACAGTCTTAAATTAGGACTCTGATTCTCTACCACTTAAGTTAAGAACAAGAAGAAAGTTTGTTGCCATTCTATCGAATCCTTGCCAAGTCGACACAGTTGTTTCAATGGCACAAAAGCAAAAGAAATCATCATCTTCAGTGCGAAGTATGAGAGTTAATCTCCTTCCTAACAAATGTTTCATTACTAACACATAAAGAATAAATCAATTAAGGACACGTTTACTAATCCGTAATCAAATTGAAATTAATTGAATTGAGGAGGAATTGGAATGAGGTGGACTCAGAATCGGATTCCTGTTGAAGCTGTTTACTTAAATATTCTGGAATCGGAATAGAAATGATACTAATTCCATAAAGCTGTTTACTAATTTAACAGAATCGGAATATAAACCAGTATGATTACTAAAATACTCTAGTCCCAAATCAAATATTTTCTATACTTTTTTTTATAAAATTTGATGTAATATATAATAGTAAAATTTTAACAATTCCTGTGTTTGTTATTTTTAATAAAACTTGAATTCTTTTTACTCTTTTTTTTAATCTTTTTTTTCACTTTTTTCTCTTTCATGAGTAAAAAACTCATTCGACAAAAAAAGTTAAAAAACCCAACAACAAAAAAAAAAAAAACAGGAGTCGGGAGAGGTTCTGGAACCTTCACGGTTCCACTTCCACCACAACCTTCTTTACTCTCCCCCTTCTGCATCCTCAATTGGTTTTTGCCATCATCTCCTGACCTTGTTCTTTACTCTCCTTTTGTCGGGTCATCGAGTTGTAAACGATGAACTCCTTGTTGGCAGCCATTCTTGGATTTCTCAACCCCTTGTCAGCCGCTCAATGCTATCTGTAAAAATGTCTGCAATCGAATTAGGAAAAAAACCAAACTGTAAGTCAAGTTCCCATTTTCCAATTCGATTCTCAATATGCAAATCATAAGGTTTGCTTTTATCTATATACTCCTCTGCATCTGTCTCTCCACAACTGGAATTGGATCTGCGGCTGTCGAGAGTTTGTTGGTAGAACTGTTGGGGCTTGGCAGTCTAGGAGGTGGTGCGGTGGTGTGAGTTGATTAAGGGGTGGGGATGAGTGTGCTTTTCATGGTTGAATCGTGATGGGGCATGCTAATTTCGGTAGAGAAGTCTGATTCCAGAAGTTGGCCTTCTTCCGGAATTCAAATACCTCCTCCGAGTTAGTAATTGGATTCCAGCAATATTAGGAATCTGATTACTGATTTTGGGTGGAGCCCACGAATATTTTCATCCCCAAAATTTAGTAAACGCCGGAATCAGTTGGGAAAGAATTCAATTCCCATTCTTCTACCTCCATTCCGGTTTAGTAAACACGCCAAGTGTGTTTCATGTTGAAAATATGTGTTTTATTTACGAAAAGGGGATACGTGTATCACATACCTAGACATGTACTAAAAAGAGGAAATTGTAGCGAGGCTCTATAGATTTTAATTCAATTGGAAAGATGGTCTTCAATTTTAACTCCATTGGAACAATAATTCTCATAACATGACTGGTTTTGACGGAAGTTCTGATGAAATTGAAAAAAAGAACCATAAATGCACGTTTTGATAAGTTAAGAGACTAATGGTCATATATATTAGTTGAGAAATTATTTCTCCAATTAGGTTAAAGTTGAGGGACCAATCTTACAATTTTCTCGCTAAAAATGTATTATATCCTTTAAAACTTTATTTTAATCTCACTTTATTCTTTAAAACTCAAATTGCACCAATTTGCCCTCCAAAGCTTTATTTTGAATTATTTTCTCACATTTTGTTAATTTTGTTAAAAAATCGGTTAAGTTAGGTGTTTTTTTTTGTTGTTTTGTTTTTGTTTTTGTTTTCTTTTGTTTTTGTCGGTTGTTGTTGAAAGGGTTAAGACCCACTTATTTTAATTGTGATTGCACCTTTGGATAAGAGGTGCGGCGGTGATATAGGGAACGAAGGAAGAGTTGGGAATTTATGCATTTTTCTAGTTTCAAAAAAAAAAAAAAAGAAATATCAAAAATAATTTATAGAGAATAAAAAAAAAGGTTATTATGATTTCAAATAAGCCAACATGGCAACTACAACAGAAATAAGTAGGCCTCAACCATGCATATCAGCGATTTGATGAACTTCTCAACAGAATTGTCGGAATGTGAGTAAGCCATACAAAAATTGAGTTTCATGAGGTAAAATGTTGTAATTTGAGTTTCATATAAAGTTGGATTCAAATGAAGTTCTAAATTACACAAGAAAAAGGATAATGGTAGGAAGATTAAATTTTTAAACTAAATAATATGGTTGTTGATGATTGGATTGTTAAGTATAGATTAACGTGGTTATTTCCTATTGGTGACACATTATTTAGTTTGAAAGTTTAATTTAAAATTTTAGTCTCTCTAGCATTAGCTTAAGAAAAAATAAGGGTGAAAGTTTTGGACAAAAATAAATGTGTCAATCATAATAATTTGATATCGAATGTATCATTTATTAGCGTAAAAGCTTATAAATATTAATGAACAATATTATTAGACTATATTGTAGTTATGCAAAACCAGGCCTAAAAAATTTCTATCTCTAGAATTTTTTTCTCTCACCTAGGACAACCCCCAATTCCCTTTTCGTCGTCGACTCCTTCATTTGGTTGGGGTTGACAGGCGACCCCTGCTAGGGGTGGGCATAAAAACCATCAAACCACAAAACCACATCGAACCATATGAAAAAAAAAACAAAAAAAACTGTGTTGACTGGAAAAGTCGACTTTGAGTAAAAAACCGAACCGGATCGTTCAAACTGGTTCCGGTTTTGGTTTCGAATGAACAAGAACCGGCCGAAACGGAACCGAACCATTTTATTAATAATAAATTAATTAATTATATATACACACACATGTCATGGTATAATAGGTTAAAAAATTAGTTTCACCAAATTGAAAAGCAGGGGATCTCATCCCAATTAGGGTTCACCCACCTCACCCTCACCTCACTCACGTCTCATGGCCTCACATCAAACCCCCTCATTTCACACAATCGACCACCTACTCACAACCTCTCATCCAGAATTTGTGCGATTCCTTAGGCAGCTCACAACCTCAACTCTCTGTGACGGCCCTCATCATCCCTCATCCATGACAACTCATAAATCTTCGTCCTCCGTCCTCCCTCCTTGGATTACGTAAGTTTCCTTGTTTTTGATTGTGAACTTGCTCGGTTGCAATTTGTTGTTTTTTTACTGCTATTTTGTTTCGAGCTTCATATGTTTTGTTAGTTAAGTAGTGATGTAGCAGAATCAAAGGTTGAATCAATTGGGAATTTCTGTTGTGTGATAGTGTCCAATTCTCTTGTGACAAAGTTTGATGATGCTAAGTTTCTAGACTCGATCGATCTTGGTAGTTTTTGATTGATTCGGGGCTTTATGATTTTGGTAGATATATAGTTCACTGTTTTAGTGTCCAATTCTCTAGATATATATAGGGGTGATTCGGTATGGGATACCGAACTGAAACCCGTGTCCCGATTCCCAAACCGCAATTTTCGGGAATCCCAAATCTAATACCGATCCCAAACTAATTTTTTGGGAATCCTAATTTTCGGGAATCTTGAAATAATTTCGGTATTTCGGGGCAAATCGGGAATTCCGAAATGATTTTGGGCTTTTGGACTAAAATTTGACATATTATGTTTTGGGCTAAAATTCAACCTTTTATATTGGGCTGCCAATCTATTGCAGACTAAATTTTCTTAATAAATTTCATAGGCCATTGTAAGTTACAAGTATACAACCAAACCAATATGTTGCAATAAAAATAAATTTAATCTGTAACTTACAATTTAATATGTGCACAGATTAAATTTCATGGAGGACCTGAGCATCAAAATTCCCATTAGTCATTAGCGTGCATTTCACTCCTCCTTCCCCTGCTTATCTGTCCTAGTCATTTACAATGCCAAATGCCAAACGCCAAACTTTTTCGTGTTTCCCATGCACACACAGACATACATATATACATTTACACCAGGAAGGATAAATCATACACAATTTATATGCAATGGTTGAGATTAAATCTCAACACAATCCAACGGCTATTAAAATTCTAAATATATATTTAAAAATTAAATAATATATATATATATATATATATATATATATATATATTTTGGGGGTTTGGGATTACCGAAATCCCAAAAACTAGTGACCGATTCCCGTACCGAAATTTTCGGGAATTTCGGTTTGGTTTTGGAAATTTTTCGGTTCGGTTTGGGATTTTTGGGATTTTTTTCCATCCCTAGATATATAGTTCACTGTTTTGTATTGATTTTGGTAGTTCTTGATTGATTTGGGGCTTTATGAGAATAAAGACGAGGCTGCGAAGAGAGAAGAGGTTATTGGTCGCATTGATCAGGTATAAATATATAGTTCACTGTTCTATTGTCGGTTGTGAGAAAAATCAGTAATTTGATGATATTGGAAATGACTTGGAATTTTTTCGCAATTGGCGGGTCGGTTTAAAGCATTAGCAATGTTGTGTTGTTTTGTGCTTACTGTCAATTATGTGTAATTGTGACCTAAAATAAAAAAAGTCGCTTCCTTTGGGACTCCTAGCTTATGTTTACCATTATTGTCGTCATTTACACGCCATAGATTTGAAGTCTTGCATTTCCCTTTGGTTGGATGGTACTTTCGTTCAATGAGGTAATTGGTAATACTGAGTTTATTTTTATGTAGATTGTGAAAGGCTGGGTGAACGTGAAGCAATTGACAAGTCAAAGAGGCTACACAGATCAGATGGTGGAGGATGCGAATGCTGTCATTTTCACTTTTGGGTCTTATCAGTTCCAACGATTACTTCTTGTAGGTATGTTCTGTTGGAACTTGCCAGTGGTCACTGGTGTTGGATTTGTTGCAACTTTATAGAATCAGTTTTAGGAGATGTATTTGAATGCATGATGATTTGGTGTTTAAATAATTTAATATTCAGAACTGTAAATAGGTAAGAACCGAATACAAACCGATGTGAACCGAACCGTACGGTTCTAGTAATAAATTTAAGCTTGTCTCAATCTTCTTGAGTTTGTCTCATATCTGGACTTTTATGCTCTTTTCTTCCTCCGTTGCTTCTCTCTGTTGTTAGTTCTTCATCGTCAACCTTCACGACTCAATCTATTGCGTGTCTCCGATTGGCAGCACACTTTGGTGTTGGGTGGTCGTTAAAGTGCTGCTTTTAGCACTATTTGTTAAGATTATGGGAGCGCTTTTGCACGGGTGACTTGCTCACTCCCATTTTCCGTTCATCCAGCTTGTTCTTGGGTTCTTTCTCCTGGCGGTAGTGGCGGATCGACGATGGCGGCTCTACTTCTATAGACCTGTGGTGGAGTCAGCAGTATTCCAGATCTAAAGTTTTTGTTATTATAAGCTTGCTCTTTTTGGATTTTTATATTGTATATCCGTTTCGACTGTGCCTTGGATTGGGACTGCCCTTAAATTTTCTAGATCATGTAATAGTTTTTATATTTAATGAAAGTTTCTAGTTTAACTAAAAAAAAAAAAAAAACCACCAGTTATGCGTGTCACATGTCAATAGGGTTTAAGACAGAAGAGCATCAATGCAAAATGAGCTGACGAGAAGTACAAAAAGCAATAAATTGCTGCAGGGTCTCGTCTCTTCGTGACATGACCTATACCAAAGCGAACCAGAAAAAGTTATTTGGTGAACTCTTCTTTTGTTTTGTTCTTTTATTTTTTATTTTACCGAAGTTCTCGTGAACTCTTTCTAAAAACTGAGCGCAGCAGCTAGCTTGAATCTTTGACAACCAGTTGGTTGAAATGGCTAGAAAGCCAAAGAAACCATCTTTTATCAAGATCCTCGCCGGTGACACCTCTCAGGGTCTGGTAACATCCACATCCTCCTCTTCCTTAGCTTCCTTTATACTCTTCAAATGGCTAGAAAGCCATAGAAACCATGTTTCATCGATATATTCTCCATCAGGATTATGGTTATGTGTCAGTCCGCTTATTTTATAGCAGAATTCTTAGGTTTTGATGTTCCTTTTATAGTTTTGAAATTTGCTTTTATTCTGAATGTTTGCAAAACCGAATACAGTCATATAGCGGACTCTACTTAGTGGATAAAGTTTTTTTGTTGTTTGCCGATCCTACTTTGTGAGATAAGAATTTGTTGTTATTTGCAACACCGGAGCACTATTCCTTTTGTATTAGTATTAATCACCATTTTATACAATTTAAATTCTGGTTACCGCGAATTTTTTCTTGCTTGATCTCGCATAGTCTAACTAGCTATTGACATTTCTTGCTTGGTTTTATGGCTTTTAGAATCTATATGACATGGTCTTTTGGATTTTAAAGAAATTACTAAAATTTGTAGCGTGTACCGCCTGCGTTTATTATGAAGAACTTCAATGGACGATCACTTTGCAAATGTGATCTTAAAGGCCCGACTGGAATTCGGAGGACTGTGGAATTGGAAGAGAGGGAGAATGGCTTGTTCTTCCATGATGGTTGGCAGGGTTTTGTGAAGGACCATCTTTTAGAAGCTGGGGATTTTTTGGTTTTTATTTATGACGGCGTATCAAAGTTTAATGTCAAAATCTATGATAGAAGTGCATGTGAGAAAGATGTCGAAGTAGCCAAGATGAATAAAGGAAATCAAGCTAGAAGAAAAGTTGAAGTTGTCGACATTGACACTGAAAACGTAAAAGCTGAAGTTGTTGACATTGACACTGTAAACTACAGCCAAGACCGTGAAAAGCAAATGATATTTTCTAGCTGGAGTTGTAAGTTTTGCACTATTTTACTTCTCTGCATCTAGGAAAGATTTGTATTAGTGATCTCTAACATTATTTTTTGTCACTCCTTTCGTCTTAAATTGTGTCTCGAATTTTGATTGTATAGGCGATCATCTCAAATCTCGAAAGAGACCAGTAAGTAATTATGTTGAAGATACATCAACAGCATCCATCCTGTTGGAAACAGAGAATCCATGTTTTCTACACTTCTTAAACCATCGGAATCGTCTATATAATGTGGTGAGTACCTTGACACCTATTTCCAAAGTCAATTTATGTTTCTGAAAATTTTCCGCGATTGTAATTGGAAAACAGTGATAGAGATCCTTGGAATATCTTTCAATGACTCAGATAAATGGTAAAGTGAAGAGTAATATGATTGACTTTTTAGTGTAAAAATATACTTTTTCATTAAAATGAACAGTACCGTAAGCTTTTCGTTAAAGTTCTCTAAATATTATCCATGAAGATGAAATATAGTAGTTAAGTTGCATTGTGGAAGTTTATTGGAAAATCATATTCAAAAATATTTCCTCAAAATTCAACTTCTTGGGGGTGCACTATATTATTAGTTTGAGGCGTGAGCACTAAGATTATGAATCGTTTACATGAAAAATCCTCTAGCACGAATATGTTTTTAGTTTTTAGTTTCGTGGTCAAGTTTCAAGCAAATTTATCCATAGATGTTCCAAATTGCAGAGGATTCCAAAGCAACTAGCCTTAGATGAAGGCCTCACGGACAAGGATTCCGTAACACTTCAAGATCCAGATGGAAGATCATGGTTTGTTCGACTCAGAACCCATTACACTGATCGTTTCGATTATTTGAATCTGTCAACAGGTTGGAGAGAATGCGGTAAAGCCAACCAAATTTCACTTGGGGACACCATAGTTTTTGAGTTTGTGAAGCAAAGTGTGATCCAAGTTCATATTTTCAGAAAAGGGGAAGTGAGAGGTAATGTGTGTCGTCTGGTACTTGTTGCCCCTTATGGTAAAAAGAAAAGATAATTGACCCAAAATTCAACTTCAGAAATTTCCATGTGTTTATTTTTTTCAGAAGAAATGTTGTGACTGCTATGTAAGCTTAGGTATTTTGCACCTTTTGGTTAAAGGGATGCTGTTGCTTAAATTAGTTCCCCAGTTACTGTTCTGTGTCTCTTCAGTGCCTTCTATTCTGTTCATTGCCTGGAATATTTTGGTCCGAGTAAGATGCACCGTTTCAAAAACATTCATTAAATTAAGGGAACTTTAACGAAAAAGAAATTGGGTGAAAGAATGCTGGAAATTGGCCGGAAACTTCCCTAACTTTAAACATTCATAACTTTGTCAATACTCAATGAAATCAAATGATTCAAAACGGAAACCATAGCTCTCGAAGAGACGAAGAGAATGGTACCTCGCACGATGTCTAACTAGCCGTGGTTTGGCCGGAAAATGCCTTGAAAGCCACGGAGGTCGCCGGAAGATTCAAATGGATATAACTTCTTCAATACTCAACGAAATTGGATGAAACAAAAGGAAAGTTGTAGTACTTAGCGAGACGCAGAGATTGATACCTTGCACGTCAGCCAACTCGCTGTGGTTTGGCCGAAAATTGCCTCGAAATGGGTGGTGCTCCTTGCCGAAAAACGTGGAGAAACTCCACCGAGGTGGTTTCTTCGTGGTTTGACATCTAAAACGTGTACAAAAGTTTAGTCAACAACTAGAGATGAAGGAAGGATTAATTCAAAGGTCTAGAACCTTACTCTCACGCCAGGGAATCGATAATCGCTGTCGAACAAGGTGGCTCAGCCGCGGTGATGCAGTTGCAGAGTTGAGAGATTGAAGTGAGAGTCTAAGAGGGATGAGGAACATCCCACATGTGAGGGTGACATCTGGTGGTTGTCTCCAAAGCACCATCTCGGTGCTAGCTATGGAAGAAGGGAGAGAAAAGACTTGCTAGGGGAGAGAGAACTGAGATAGAAATAAAGAAAGAGAGAGAAAGGGAAGAAAAAGAGCGGGAGAAATAAGGGAGAGTGAGGACGCACAGGTCGAAAAGGAAAAAGGGAAGAGGGACTGGGGGGACAAAGATCAACGGTGGGCCCCTTGGGCACACCATTTAACACCCAAAAACAATTTTAAAGGAAAAGATCTAGTTTAAGATGCAATTTCACGAAATACTTCTTTCGTTCGGATTAAAATCGGGACGGGTTGTTACATATGTTATTGTTTGGAATTTTGAATTAAGGGTTTCCTGAAGTTAGGGTTTTATGACTTGAATTGAGTATTTTTAAATTTTTTTCTTAATTGGAGTTTTAAACTTCACTTTGTGTTTGCATGTGTGTTTTAGACCCATTCTTCCTGGTCAGATTAGAACCCTAGTTCTAAACCTTAATTCAAAGCAATCATCAAATCAAAGAAATTATTCAAAACATTAGAACCCTAATTCCTAATTTGAGTAGAGTTAAGTTTCATGAAATTTACCACAGAGGGAAAGCGATGTCGGAGGTGGAAGAGAGAGGGTTGCCGGAGGAGGAAGAGAGTGCGAGGGAGAGTTGAGGGAGATGGTCAATAGAGGGAGAGTTTACAGAGAGGAGAGGTGAGGGGAAAGTGGGCAAGTGTTTGTGATTTCAGTTTAATCCCGAGGTTATTGTGCGACGAACAAAAGATATTCGTCCTGAAATAAATTTAAATTTTCACAAAATTATTTTCATGCACTCCAAATTTTCAGCACATTGCGTGACAAAGAGTCATTAATTGTCGCGGAAATGCCATTCGCACTACGAATAATATTTTGTTTGTCGCGCAATGAGCTGAAAATTTAATTTATCCAGGTAAATTTTTAAAAATTTATATTTATTCAAATAAAACCAATTTATTTATGACATAAGATAATTAAATTACAAAAAAAAATTCATTTACTATGTTTTACATGGCAAGTCGCAAATAAATTGCATTATTTAGCATCTGAACTATAATATATAACTTTCGCTATCGTCACTACCACATTTTCGGTATCCCAATCCTCCTTTTCGATAACTAAGTTATCGTCGTCGTTCGGGCCCACTGCAACATCGTATCACGGAAGATCACCGAGGTCAATTGTAATTTACTAAATCAGTATTTCGATTGAAGATACTCCTTGTATCTAAAACTGTTCTTGGATAAGAGTTGTATCTCGAAGTGTTTCCGCATCATTTTCCATTGAAGATTCTAAACGTTGGTCAGCGACTTTGTCGACGTCGTCGTCAGTTGGGTCTTGTTCTACTATAGCATACACGTTTCTCTGATCCATCTTCTGAACAACTTTCCAACCTCTCCCGGCTTTAGGGTCATCTAGATACACAATCTGTTTTGCCATGTTTGCCAAAATGTAAAGGTTGTCATCGTACCAAGTTCTGTTAATGTTCACAGATAGTAAGCCATGGTTAATTTTAACACTTCCCTGCCTATTTGGGTTTGTATCAAACCATCGACACTTAAACATGCTCACTTGGTATCGGTCTTTGTAAAGCAACTGCACGACAATTGTTAGTTTACCATAGAAATCAATGTCTATACTTTCACCTCCACCTGGGACATGGACACCACTGTTTTGCATACATAACTTGTCATCTCGTCCAGTCCCCAAAAACTTAACGCCGTTAACTTGCCAACCCGAGAACAATTCAGCGATAATTAAGTCGAACGCCAAGTTATATAACACTTCAATGTAAGTGGAGGAATTCGATGCTTTCAATTTATTCACCTAATATTATACAAAAACATACATGTCATTTAAGTATGCCATTATCTCGTCACAATTGTTCAGTACGAACCAATTCACTACCTTTATGTCATTTTTGGAAAACGACTCGCCTCGTACTGGATCTCCAAATGGTTGTGCGCTTTGGGCAAAAATAGAAAGTTTCTCCTTTCTCACACCCCCATCATTATTGCGCTAAGGACGATTGAAAGTCGTCTCCACATCTTTTAAATACATTCCACAAAAGTAAGTGACTCATATTGAACCCAAGCCTCTATAATTGATCATTCGGGCTTTGCCCTATTGTGTACACTTTTTTTCAGCACCCTGAGAAGCTTGCCAAAATAAAATGATAAGATACACATTAGTAAGCATGGGCTAATGATGCATAAATAAATGATGAGGATTATATACCTTTTTATTGGATACATCTAGCAATAGTTGACAGGACCAGCAAGCAATGCCTCTTCGGGCAAGTGAACCATCACATGGATCATACTTGTGAAGAAAGCTGGAGGGAATATCATCTTAAACTTACATAGGACTTGGACAATGTCATGGCGCAACTGATTAACGTCCGTCTTTTGCAACGTTCTTGCCGTCAGTTAGGAAAAAAAATCTGGACAACAACATGATTGGCTTCACTACATCTTTCGACAATAGGTGTCGAATACCAACAGGAAGTAGGCGTTGCATAAACACATAGCAGTCATGGCTCTTTAGTCCAACAAATTTACCTTCATCAACATTCATGCAACACGCGATATTAGAAACATACCCATCAGGAAACTTTACAGACAATACAAACTTTAAAAACTCTTTTTTGTCATTCGGTTTCATGGAAAAAAATGCAAGATCCCTTATGGCTTTATCACATCCCTATTCATCCATAAACTCTCTTCAACTTCAATCCTCATTCGCCTGCAACACATCAAACTTCCACCGTCGGAAACTCTGCTTGAAAAGCCCATTCACATAAATCCGTTGCTTCTCATTAGTTTGATCAACATCCTAATGAACCTACAATAATGCCAATAACAATAAATTAGTAATTTAAAAAATATTACGTTTTAACAAAAATAATTGTTCATTATTTACTACAAACTTACCGATAACTCCCGTACCATGGACTTCTTCAACTCCTCAGGGACCATTTTCCAAGACTCATACTCGGCAGAACAATCCTCCGCACCAAATTTCCAATGTCATGCACAAATTCGGCGTACGCCTCAACCATATTTTTACCTCCAAAGTACGGCACTTACTTCCGTCGATATCTCTCTGATTGCACTACAAGTTTCTTTTTGCCATAACCTTCTCCATAATCGGCCATTCCTTTTTAAACAAATTTTTTTGAAAACTAGGGTTCTGAAACTGCGTTTATATAGCACTAGGATACCTTTGTGCGATGAACCCATTAGTTGCACAAATCTCTATGTTCGTCGCACAAAATGCGTCATAAATGCACAATAAATGGGAAGGTTTGAACACAATATGACCGTACTTTGCGTGACAAACACTTGCTATTCGTCACGCAAAGTAATCTTATGCGAAGAGCATAGCATCGCGCAATATATTTAGCGACGAATGAAATGATTGTAATTATAAAGTTTACAAACAAATATTCAATTAAATATTTATTCTAAAAATAAGTAATACTTTAAATATTTATTCTATAAATAATTAATATCTTAAATATTTATTCTATAAATAATTAATGCCTAAATCCATAAAATTATTTTGAGCATAAGTACCAAGATTGAAAACACATACAAACGGAGGATAGGGTGCTTACATTAGGCCTCAATAAAAAAACCAAACAGGAATTAAAACCTAATTAAGTCCAAATGCATAACTTATAAAAAAAAAACCTCAAATTTAAATATTGTCATAAAAAACATAAATTTAAAACTATTATTTCGATGGTTCTGGTCCATTCCGCAAGACTTCATAACGCCACCGATTGTAACCTCTTTCCAATGCATCGTCCATCAACTTCATCAACTGTTCGTTCGTATCATCATCAACATTATACTTACATTGTTACACATATGTGCAAATAATTAATTCCAACATATAACTAAAAATTTCACAAACTTAATTATTGATCCATCAACAATATACTTCCTAATAGTTCATCCATCATAGCCTTCTTCATATTCACAGGCACATCTTTCCAAGAACGCCACTCAGCAGTGGGACAATTATTCCCTATGGCTATAGCAATCGTATGTGCGAACTCAAAATGTTGCCTCAAATCATTTGGGTTGGCGACATGCATGCTCTGATCCTTATTTTTGTCCTCCATCTGTTCTTGAAGAATAAAGAGAACAGAATTGTGAAGAATAAAGACAGCAGAAGCGCATATTTATAGGAAGGTTAGGGCATTTACGCGATGAAGGCTTTGTCGCGCAAACATT